TTAGTGTAGTGTGGTAAATGACAAAATGAAGGGAAAGTAGATGTAGAAAGATTATTTTACACCAATCTTTCAAGTTGGGAATAGTGCCTACCATGAAATTCAGCATTTGAAATCATGAATTTTACCTGATTGCAAATGCCAACTGTTGACCCTGGTCATAAATATGCAAATAACTCACATCCCAAGCAAACCTTAAGAACAAACTTACAATATGGCAAGTGTATTTGTATATATGTTTGTCTATAATGTTTGTAGCTTTTAATGTTGCTGGTGCAAGAGAGGTAGAATGGCAGTGGTGATGTCAGGTGATAGTGTCTTTGTTATGACAACGGCAGATTGTTTAAACATGCTTAGGAAACTGGAAAGTAAGACCAACTTCATGAAAGAGCAGAAAAAATATATTTAAAAACTCACATGTGAACTTGTAGGTCTTAACAAAATACTAGTTTCATATATATTGTCATTTTCATAGCATGGGTAAACTAATATATAACCTCAACTATTGAACATTTTCAAATATGTAATGTATCAAATTATAAACAACATATATTCAATTTAATTATATAAAAGACTATTGCATGGAATGTAGTGTTGTTATATGCTTAACATATTTGAAGGACACATCTTGAGTTGAATCATGAAGGACTCAATTGAGATTCTTTTGAAGTTTAAACCAAAGTGTTTGTTTTTTTGAGATGTAACTGAAAGCTTAAGTTTTGAAAGAGACAGTTGTAAAAATGGTTAGTTGAATGTTCATTGATTGGTTTTATGGCATATCAACCCTTTATGGGTCATTTAATGCTGAAATGCCTATAAAATATTCCTATGGCATGTGTCTCATATAGCCTATGACAACTAAGTCCAGCTCCAAGCCATAGGAGGGGCAAAGGCAGACCACATGACCTGCTGCTTTGGGTAGATGGAGATTGTCAGCCTGGGAAGGCAATCAATCTAGAGAAAGGAAAACCCTGATTTAAAATTTCCTATGTCTTTTGGCCATATACAAGCATGGAAAAATTTGTGGAAGTAAGTTCAGATAGAAAAACTGGAGTGAAGCCCTGAAAGCAGTTCGCTATCAACATTGAAATGCTTCTGGCAACTCCTGCAGCCAGGTCAACTCCAAATGTAATATTCTGCATGTGGGGGTATTAAGAGTGGGGCCATGTAGTCTGGGCAGTGCATGGCCTCCATATACCATCACTCAAGCCTGCGATGAAAATAAAAGTAATTAATTTACAGACTTGCAAATTATTTTTGTTTTCATCTAACCAAATTTGTTATTGAACTGAACTACTTTTTTCCTATGAAATAGACTAGTGAAAAGTGACTCTTTGCTAGAAGAAATGTTATTTATTACTATACTGATTGTATTTTTATGGTTTATCAATCCATTTTGATGTCATTTAAGGCCAAAACACATTTTAGATTGTATGAATAATAATTCTTTTTTTGTGAGTGAATATTGTATTAACAATTCTTTTGAGAATAAAAATGACTTTTTCCAGATTCTAGTATTTAACCTAGTGCTGCAATGAGGAAATGTATTCATACCTTTCCCCAAGGTTATTTGTGCATGAATGTAATGAACCTGACTGGAATTTGAACTTGGGTCTCCAATTTCTCATTCCAAGCCTCTATCTATTACACTACCCACATATCCTATAACTTTACTGAAGAGATTACAAGGTATATTAAGATAAAATAACTGATATGAAATATGTAAGATGTAATATATGAAAAGCAGTTGGTTGTTTAATTTTTTCTTCCATTGTCAACCTTTCGTTCAATAAGATCATTTGAACAATTGAAAAAATTAAGAAAAAAATCATTGTTATGACAATGCTGCTACTTAAAAATTCTGTGATTAATTAGATTATTTTTTTAATTTATCAATTAATAAAATTAAAAATAAATATTTGAAGCAAGCAATGAGATTTATACATAGGAAATGTTAAAATAAATGTAAAATAAAATATAGTGATTTGAAAGAAAAAATAAATCATGTATATTTGAAAAAAAAAAAAATATATATATATATATATATATATATATATATATATGCTCTATTGTAAGAATAGTGGGAGAAAATTGATTTTAATTTTAATCCTGATCTCTATTATAACAATAGACTTATGTAACAGCTGTAGTAGATTTAAATGTTAGTATATTGAAAAATTCTTCACGCAATTTTACAAACAATAAATTCAGTTTATTTAGATATATTTTAAGTAAAGTCTTAATTTTGGTTTAATAACTGAAAATATGTTTTAGGTAACAAATATAAAATTATAAATGTGATATTTTTTTAAAATATAGTTAAAAACTAAAGATTTAATGTGACATTTGTTTCATATATTGTAAATTTAACAAAGACTTGACTTAGCTTGCGATATGAGAGACTCAAAGAAAAATTATATAAATGTTAGTGATTTCAATTAAGAATGGCCAGAAAAAAATGTGTGAAAAATTTCATTTTTTTTCCTCAGAAAAAATATTCAGCAATGAATAAAATTAGATTTAATGGCTTTCACCATCATGAAATTTTTTTTTTGTTTTTCTTCTAGATTTGCTATCAACTCAGAGGAATTCCCTTGTATTCTTTGTTACAAATGAAAATAATATAGAGAAAGAGTTAAAAAGAGAAGTCAATTTTTTTAAGTACTCTCCTATAAACAAATAATATACTGAAGAAAAATCTGTATTATAAGGCCAAAGAATATCCAGCAAAAATGAATAAAAATAATGATGATATCTAAGGATATCCTGCTTTATATATATATATATATATATATATATATATATGTGTGTGTGTGTGTATGTGTGATCAGTCATAATAAGAGTATTAACTGAATAACAGAAAATATGAGAAGTGGAAGAAGAGGTATAAAGAGAAGAACAATTAGTTGTAAAACACAATAAAAGAACCAAAACAGAAGATTTAAAGAATGAGCATTATTAAAGAAGAGAAAGGAAAGAAATAAAATAATTGTTTAATACATAAATATATACATGTGTAATATATGAAAATCTGGAATTACATAATTTTGACAGAAAAATAGTTTAAAAATTGGTTTAACAGGAATTAATCAAATTTTCCAAGAGGAACACTTAGTAGCTTGATCTATACAAATATGTTAGCATAAAAAATAATCTACGTTTAAAAGTGTGTGTGTGTGTATATATATATATATATATATATATATATATAGAGAGAGAGAGAGCGAGAGAGAGAAGTTGGGAGTGCATACTAGTATTTTCTTAAAAACATATAATCTGTAAGGAAGTAATATAAAATTAATTTTATATAATGCATATAATTTCTGTTATTCATTTTTTATCAGTTTTTCTTCTGTCATGTTTTTGGTGTTTTATTGCAAACTGTTAAGTAAGTATCATATATCAGAAAAATATAAAAGAAAGAAAATAAAAAGATGGCAGAAAATACAGGTAAAAATTAATAATATCAGATTATTGCAAATGTTTGTGCCCAATTTTCATTGTTAATATAAAATGATCACAATTTGATACTGGTGTGTTTTGGTGACGATTTCTGATGTATTCTAGATTGAAACCTTGCATCGTTCAGTTGCAAATCAAACTTTGTTGATGTTTTCTGCATAAATGAATGCCTTAAAGATGAATACTGAAAAGCTATACTTTTGCCATATTATGTTAAATGAATTTCAGAAAGGAGTAAGTAAAGAATTGTGACAAAAACATTCAGAATATTTATTTGGATCATACTTTAGCTCTTCACAGTCAAAAAAGGTTTGTCAGATTTTGTCAGGGTGATTTTAACATAAATGAACAACTACATTCTGGCTAACTTCCAATATCAGTAAAAAGTCTCTGCTTGCCATCATAGAGAATAAACTGAAGAGATTGCTAAGATTTTGAAAACTGATATCTCAACTACCTTTCACCATTTGAAGAGACTTGGGTTCAAGAAAAAACAGCTGACTTTGACAAATTGAAAAGGTGTCATTTTCCACCACAACAATGCAAAACCACATATTGCAAAACAGAAATTGCAGAAGCTTAAAGATTTGAAATAGGACCCAACCCCAGCACCCATCATATTCTCCTGACTTGGCTATTTCAGATTTTCATTTATTCCAGTCTTTACAGAACAATTTAAATGACAACAAATTTAAATGCACAGTCAGTCAAAAACTACCCTACAACTGTCAACAAAAAATACATTCCTACAAAAATGGCATAAACAACGTTTAGAACAATAGGAGACAGTTGTTGAAAGCAATGGAGACTATGTACTTGAGTAATAAATGTTTTTTGTGCATAATTTTCTAATTGGGCTCAAACTTTTGCAATAATCCAATACAAAGTACTTATACATTTATGACAAATATATGCACAAGATCTTTAATTAGTGTGTGTGTGTGTGTGTGTGTGTATATATATATATATATATATACACGTAGGGAAGAGTTCTGTCTACATATGTATAGAATTATCATATAAAATCCTACAAACATGTATAAATATATATGCATAAAGAGAGAGAAAGAGAGAGAAGGAAAGAAAAAGATGAAGATCAAAGAGTAGAAGTAAGTAAATTTTGAAAAGTTTGGAAATAATGCTAGTGACCAAAACAAGAGAGAGGGGGCAGAAGAAATGGGAAGATGAGAAAAAGAAAAAAAAGGCGCAATAAAGAGAGAGTGGAAGAGCAAAAAAGAGAAACAGATTGAGAGCAAGAAAATTCTTCTTAAAATGAAATCATTGTGCCAAGACCCAAAATCCAATCATGTAAAAACAAACAGAAAAGAAACAAGATTTTAAAAAAAGAGAGAGAAAGAGAGAGAAAGAGTCAAAAAACCAATGTGAAAAGGATTCATGTTTACAGAACATGCAATGAGAGGTAGAAAAAAGTGCATAAGATTGAACGACCATGTGATGGAGGGCAGAGTTTCAACATCATCAGATAAGCAGCAGGTTACGTACTGAGTCTAAGCAGCTCCTCCATTCGTCACGGTCGATTGTCACACTGTTCAAGTGAACAATAGGGATATATAAAGGAAATAAAAATGGAGGATGGAAATGTTTAAAGTGTTATTTTTATATTTTTCTTTTCTTTTAAAGTTCTCTAGGGGAGAGAAAGAAAAGATATGTAGAATTTTTTAAAAAAATAATTCTTTTTTTTACACTTAAAGGTATATTTTTTAATTTTTGTTTTTGAAAAACTGCAAGGATTGACATTTTATGTATTGGACAGGAGAGTGAAAAAAAAATGTCAGAGAAAAAAAATCATTCATTCATTTTAAGGGTTAAAAAATGGCTCACTGTTTCTGGAGGCAATGGCAAAATAATCAATATGATAATAATTAAACATATTATTGTCAGTTTTATTATTTGATAACAATCAATGACTAACAAAAATTGAAATGATAACTCAACCAATTTAAAAAGAAATCACCAAATTGTTTTTTCTCAGCTTTTTTAAAGATTCTTCAATGTGTCATTACTTAAAAAAATAAGGGAAAAGCATTTGATTTTAAGATGCATTTTTAAGGATACTGTTTTTTTATAGGAAAGGAGGTTAAACAGATGAAGATTTCATTAGACAGGGTGAATGATATATTATAATTATTACTGTTTATATTGTTAAAACATTCAGTAATTAGTCAATATATTTATATCTAATATACATTCAATCTAATAAGCGATCAATAAAGATATAATTAAATAATAAAACTCACTTTGGTGGGAAGGATGTTATTTCATCTAAATATTTCAAAATAGATAAAATATTTTTGCTTCTCTCATCAAAATTGACATTTGTAATTATATTGTGGTGGTGGAGGGTAATTACTGATTAATTAACTTTTTTTTAATATATTTCCTGCTTTTCTCTGAAAAGGGTTATGATTTTTCTTTAATGAGAAATTTTAAACTGATGACTTATTCAAGCAATGATAAGTCTCAACATTAAATAATAGTGTCAGAAATGATGTTGCAAAATATTAATAGAAAAAACGTTTGTGTTTTTGCTTTTTAAAAAGCATATTTTCCTACTCCATAGATATAATTTATATCAAGTATAAGAAAACTTGACTAACATAAAATCAGTTTTCTTTTCCTGGGTGAACAAGTGGATAACAAATTCTGTTAACCATCTGAATCCATGATATCTCAATCCCATACTCTATTGAACTATATATTCATATACAGCAATAATAATGTAATCTGAGGATATGTTTTTTACTTATTCAAGAGATAAATAACCTCTTTACACACTAATATCTTTAAAATTAAAGATAGATAAAAGCAGTCTTTTGATAAAATTTTATCTTGTGATAGCTGCACATTAGCTTACTGCTTAACAAATATTTGAAAAAAATATTTCATATAATAACATTACCATGAACTTGATCATTTGCACAACACAATCTTCCAATCCTGCTTTTTCACCTGTGCTAAACTAAGCTAAACAAGTATTAATATTTTTCAATTCTTCTTGCTTTCTAGTGAAATTTGATCTTCAAAAATTTGAATGCAATATCAGTCATCATTTTCTGTCTCCTTAATACCTATTGGTCTCGTTCTTTAATAATGTTTTTTTTTTAATCAGATTCTTTCAAACTCAGTAACACCTTGTGTCTTAGTGGCTTTATCACCTTTGGATGAAACAATAATAAAAAATAATTTAGTTCAAAATGTCAACATATTTATATTTGATATAAAACACTAGTGAAATAGTAATAAAATAAAGGTATTTTTAAATTTCCAGCAGAAAAAGAGAGCTTTGTCTTTGATTTTCATTTACAGAATTTTCAATTTGATATTTTACTAGCAAAAGACCATACAACGTTGGTCTATGTTACTAACAAAAACATATCAAACAATATCACAGACCTCCATATTGCTGGATGTTCTAAGCTTTCTATTGCTAATAGGTTAACGATCTCAGTTAAAATTAGAGATAAGGAGATAGTGTTACATTTAGTAGCTTGGGACAAGAAATCAGTGAACTGGGTTTGAATTCCACTTCTTTACATTCACTTTCATACAAATGCACTTGGTTAAATAGCAGGCCAGACTTGGCCTTCTAGCCATCAATGGCAACCAGTTTAGGAGAAGGACAATTCTGAATTCAGAATTGTATGTAGCCCTGGCAATGCACATACTATACAGACATATGGAGTTCACAATTAACCACAGCACAGAGTTGTGGACTCTATAAGCTCAATTGAAAAGAGTCTGCTTCAAGCAACTGTTATATTACATTCACTTGCTTGTCTCCTGTATAATCGTCGTCATCTTTTACATGCCGTGTCCCTTTCTGAAGTAGGCAATCATGGCTCTACACGTCTACTTGTCCCTTGTAGCTCTTAATAAGTTTTGTCTTTTTGTTATCTTTCCCAAACCCTGTTCTAGCATCCATTCGCTCAAGATCATCAAGTACATTATGCGCTGCTTTCCTCTGTCCCTCTTTCCCACAATCTGTTCTGTGAGTATCAGGTTCTCCAAGCACTCCTTCCTCATTATGTGCCTAAGAAATCTCAACTGCCTCTTCCTGATGTTAAGTATATGTTTCCTTTTCATTTCCATTTTCTCCAAAACATTGTTGTTGTTCTCATGTTTAGTCTTTTGTATCCTGCATCTTCCTGTAGAACAACATTTCTGTTGCTTCAAGTTTCTTCTTCATCTTTGAGGAGGTTGTCCAGAATTTGTTGCCATACAGGAGGACAGATATCATGCAACAGTCCAGTACCCTTTTCTTTGTTTCTAATTGTTGAAACTTGACTAATGCATGGAATAATGATGCAACATAAAATGTACTTAGAACAAAATGTATTGAAACAAGAAAGTGTACACAATATTTACATATAGTCTTTTGTATATTCCTGGGAAGACCGTTCCTGGAGAATGTGTTGACTTAGTCGCAGTCGGGCAGAGTCTCTGGATTGAATCTCTTGATTCCTCCCCTCTCTTCCCGGTACCAACCATATTTATATGGTCGGTACTCCACTATACAAATTAGGTGGATCCTACCACAACACTAATGAAATTTTTCTATCTCTTAATACTCTGCTTAGCTTTTACATCTTTATGTTTTTGGATTTCAATTTTGCACTTTCCATCCTCTGAACACTTTTCGGGTATTTAAATTTCTGTACTTGTTTGATTTTAATATCTCCAATTTGTAATTTGCATTTTGGGCTGATCCTTTTGCTGATAACCATGCATTCTGTCTTCTTGTAGTTTATACTTAGTCTTTCTTCCTATTTTCCTTTGCTACCTGCTGTAGGAGCTTTTCTAGTTTCCTTTCTATGTCTGCTATCAACACTGTGTTATCTGCATATATTATATTGTTAAGATTGTGGCTGCGAATAATGAATCATGGTTAGACTTCTAATTCTCTTAGAATTACCTCACTGTCAAGCTTGAATAAATCCAGTGAGAAGACACATCCTTGTCTTATGCCCTTTCTGTTTTTGTATATCTGTTGAACTCAGATACTTATTAAAATCTAAGCCTTTTTGAAGATTACTGACAGGGCAATACAACCAAAGCTAGACTTATAACAAGAGTGATTTCATTGTATTTACTTCAATCTGGTATTGTTTGATCTCTCTCTCTATATATATATATATATATATATATATATATATAAAAACTGTAAATAAGGTCTGCTCACCATATTTACAGTATAAGCCACAGGTTGACCCTATGAGTGATGAAGAATCACAATTATCCCTGAGCAGATGTTGGCAACAGGGAAGAGCTATCCACCCTAACTGATACAGTTCTCAAATTTGGTATAGATGTTTATTTAGAATCAGGGGAATGTTTTACAATCATAAGCATTTTGTTCTTCACGAAGAAAGGTGTATCTTTCCTCTTATATGCAGTTATCTTTAACAGGAGTGATCATTGTTTGTAATCATTGAGTGGAAAAAGTAAAAAATCTCTCTTGTTATTAGAAAAAAAATACATATTTGTATATTTTGAACAAAAGCAATATCAAAACAATCTCAAGAATATTCCTTCATTGGAAACTAGCCAGAAACACATTAAATTACCCAATGACAATGAAATGTGAATAATGACAACATCCTGTTTATTTGTTGATAACAAAGATTGTAAAATAGATATTTCTTAATTCTGCATTTATTTCACCATAAGTTATATGGATCAAATCTAATTATGCTTTGTGGTGAAATAAAGGTTGTGGTTTGGAGTGCTGTCTGAATTCATGTACAGGACTTATTTGGGAGGTTATCAAAATGAGTTGCTTCCATTTGTGATTAGAATTACTGTAATCAATTTGGTGCTTGTTTCAAGTTTTTAAATGTGCATACAATGCTTTAACACTTGGTTAAATACTAGTGACTTTGAACTAGTAAAACCATTATTGTGGTAACTCCTCATACTTTGTTTATTAATCAGTTCACTATCAATACTAAGGAATCATTTTACTATCCTTATAACCAGGATCATACTTCAGCTAGTACATTTACAAGTCAATACAACCAAGGGACACACATCCAAGTTTGTTCTTAGACTAAGATACAATAGTTATTCAGATTATTTTTATTACAGGTTAAATAAGATGATAGGTTGATATTCATGAACCCTAATTCACCCAAAAGAAGAAAAACTTTAACTTTCAACCCAAGCAAAAAGGTTATTTCCCTCTCAGCTACAAGTTAGAACTATAGAAAACTTTAAATGCTCAGAAACAATAGCATCTATATCTGGGTTCATTTTTAACATGTCAAAAAAAAAATATACAGATTTTGAAAGATGTATGTTATATATCAACTCTGAATAGCAGAGAATGCAAAATTTCAAAGTTAAAGAGCTTAATTATATTCAAGCTGTCTATTGAAGTATTGTTTTTAAGATTAAAAATATTTAAATTCCATAGAATAGCATTTACACAATTTTGTTAAATTCTAAAAACTGTTTTAGCTTTTGGTCAAGGGTTTGGTAACAAATTTAATTAAAAAAGAAAGAAACTTAACTGTAAAAATACAGTGC